ATGTCAGTTTTGGAGCCCATTTTGTCAGACGCTCATTTTTGCATAACTTACGAAAAACTTAATTATTGCAAAATTGCAAACAGTATTATAAAAATTGTTCATACTATCTGACAGAAGATACTTTTTACTTTCTATTTATGTTTTTGAAGTTGTATTTTTACCTTTTGTTTAAGAAATATTGTCTAAAAATAAAGTGGTATGTCGGTATCGGTGACTTTCCTCTATAATATTAATTACATAAATGTAAAATATTTCTAATTTCTAGTATTGATTGTGTTCTCACACATATTACGGTTTAAAACAAGATTCTTATTGTTTAAAATATTTTTATCAGATATTAAAATTTTGTTCTCAAACGTGTTTTGTCTATAATGTAATATTAAGTTTTGTGTCTTATTAGATAATTAAGATACAATAATATCAGCATAATTACTTGTTAATAATTAATGTGAATTCTTGATCGTCAATTAATTTCATGACGATCGTCAACACACAACTTTTACGAAGCGATTCTCCGCGCGCGACACGGAAATAAGCACGAACGTCCAGACGTTAAATACCACACGCTGAAAAAAATCTTAGAAATTAGTGTAGCAGATTGTAGCAGGAAAACTGCTTGGATTCTGAATATGATGAGCAAAGAATCGCATACAATCAAAAGTACAGAATATTTTGTGTCTTACTTAGTTAAAAGTATATTTAAAGTTAATAAAAGTAAATAAGTGCTTATTTTTTTACGGTCATTTTGAAAAACAAAATAATGTACATATTTTAGCACATATTAATATGTCATTAATTAAAAACAAAACGTATATATTTTTGTGAATGCTTTTTACAATAAATATTTAAGTTAACAATTTCGAATTTATTTTATATGCAACATTTCATTGGAGTTATGAGTCATTACTAGATATTGTGAACAAAAATAAATTAGTTTTAATTAAAATATAGTTCATGGTCGTTAATTTAACTTCATTAATGTAATCAATACCAATCATGATTTTTTTGAATTTTGTCCAGTGTCGCCGCACTGTGCCTGGGTGTAAACTAGGCCATAGAGAATGCACTGCGCGATCCGTATCTAAGGGTGCGTTCAAGGAGCTCACTACCACATTACCAATGCTAACGCTACCATCTCTGTTCACGGAGTCAAGATAGCGCTAGCGACACAGAACATATACTAAGAGAAGCGCAAGATCCATGTTAAACCACGGAAACAAATACGATTGCAGCGCTCCAAATGAGTTGGCCCTTGTACTACAGCTGCGTTCGCTTTGGCGCTTACAGTGCTTGTGAGCATCAATTGTCCTTACTTAATATTAATTTAATAAACAAGGGTGAAACGACATTTAAAGCGTTATTTATTATTATGACTGCCACAGCGAACACACACACACACACACTCTCTCTCTCTCTCTCTCTGTATATATATATATATGTTAAGCTTCGATTCATTTGTCGAAATAATGCAAGTGAGCAAAGGGAGTGGACTATTAAAAAAAAAAAAACAAATGAGAATACAATAAAAAGTTAAAACATTTATTATAATCATAAAATATATGAGACAACATTCTCAGTCTTATAATATCACAACAAGAAATACATAGTCATATGAGACATCAGTTTTTAATTATCACAAAGAAAAATATCAATTCCTGCACACACAATCAGGAAATTTTTTTTATAAAATTGAAAAGAAATAATGTTGCTAAAATATTTTACGGAAACTTCGGAAATCAAATCCAATCAAAAATTTAAAATGAATTGTAACAAAAAAAATAAAAATCAATCGAAATATAATTTGTTTCTAAAAAAGGAATAATTTTTTTACATAATATAGTTCCGAAGCTCCTTTCAGTCATTTTCGTTCTTAATCTAGATATAATATTCGTCATTTTT